ATTTAAAAACAATATTTGTGAATTTTAGAAACTATTCTTTACATTTTTTAGTTTTACTGAAGCAAGACAGGACTGTCTTTGTTAATATCTTAATATATATAAATTACGTGTCACGTTGTTTGTCCGCGATGGACTCCTAAACTACTTAACCGATTTTAATCAAATTTGCACACTGTGTGCAGTTCAGCTCAAATTGAGAGATAGGATAGTTTTTTAACGATGAGTGACCCACAATTTTTTTTTTGCGAATTTAAGGATTTTTAATAGGACATGACAAAGGGTCGTCGAAAAGGGCAGAACAACGTCTTCCTGGCAAGCTAGTTTGACTGTAAATACTATTGCTACATGAAGTATTGCCACCTGGTGAAGTTTTGTAATATTTATATTAATTATATTTGTTTGTTTTTAATGGTTGAGTAATACTGCACTGCTAGGGGCCGTTAGGGCCTCGGGCTCGAATCCCGCACGAAATGAATATTTTTAGGTCCAAAACTCATTTTTTCAGATCTATTTGTTTTTGTGAATTTTTTATATTAATTGATTCCACAATACAGGAAAAAATCCTCGTGTTTGAAAAAATAATACGATGTTTAACTTTTATATGACAATTGGAAAATCAACCCTATAATTAGAGTTTACAATTGTAGATATTTTCGGGATCGTGTAACGGCGTCTGTGATGTCAGGTCGTGTGGATATAATGTACAAAGTTAAAAAAGTTAATTGCCCTATCATCATCATTATTATCAACAATTCCACTGCTAAACTAAGGAATACCACAAAGCACGATCTTGAACTACCAGCATCCATTGAGTTCCCGCATCTGATACCCGATAGTCACTCGATCTAATAGAGTCTATACTACCTCAAAATTCACAAAAGAATTAAGTAGTAGTATATATATATATATATAATATATAAATATTTCTCGATAGAAAAAATCTAAAGTTACCTCCAAACCGAACAATAAACCGCTAGTATTCACAAAATACTTTAAATTTGATCATGAAACTTTGCATACTAACTGAACTAACTATAAAGCAGGGCTTATGTTTTTTTATTTTTTAAATTACCATTATTTTCACTGTAAAAAGAAATTAGCTAAACTATCGGCGTCCTGAAGCTTGTTCCCTGTCGCCCGATACTGGCGACACGCTTCGCTTACTAGTACAAGCCTGCCACTCGAGCTCCTTCCTACCCCATCGGCTATTGGTACCTTGGACTAGCCCCTTATCCTATAATTTGTGTATACTCCGGAGTCTTCAGATTAGTTAAACTTAAACCTATACATAATAGGTACGTGCAAATTTTGTGTAATAAAACACACGGATAACGAATATACATAATAACCAATAAACTAGCGATCTGCCCCGGCTTCGCACGGGTAATATCTAGATTCTACAACAGCACCGCCTACCGGATCCAACTATTTCTATAACCTTCGGGGAAGTGCAAGTAATATGTTGACAAAGTTTGACTGCAATCTGATGAACAGTATGGCAGCGCATAAAATACGAACACACGAAAATTTAATTTTATATTTTAGATTGAATGTTATCTTACGAAATTCATAAATGCAAAAATTCCAAAACCACATAAAGCATTGTAACATATTTATAATTCTACCAAAAGCATTTCGTCTAATAATTACTTATTATGGCAAACAAATAGTATAATGTAAGTATAAACTTTCTGAATCTTTGTTAATGAATTTTCCTAAGGGGTACTTATGAACATAAATAATATTTTCAAAGAAATCGTTCAAGAAACTTTAGTATTGTGAAGTTTTCTTTTTTCTCTACTTAGTTGATATCCAATTATATTCGACTTTAACGGCTGAAGTATTTTATACAATTAGTAATATATACTAAGTATGTATCTGTATAAAAAAATATTATAGATGAACGAAGATCGAATCTAGACCGTATTAATTTCAATTTTAATGGTGTAAATTTTATTCTTTCTGTGGTCATAAATTTTTAATGTTTCTTTTCTTAAAAGTTAAAAAAAAACACGTTAAAGCTTATATAAAACTACATCCCACTGCTGGACACAGGGACAGCCTCTCATTAGAGAAAGGGTTTTAGGACAAGGAAGTCTCCACTGTGCTATCCCGATGCGTGTGGGCGTATTTCAGTTATCCTCGAAATATTTTTTTTAATTCTCAGACATGCAGGTTTCCTCACGATATTTTATTTCACCGCAGAACATATGATAAATCAACACCTCGTTTCATTCAATTTCAATCAGCATAATACTAAAACGTATTCGGCTTACGCCCTAGAATCTTATTGTCATATTTCCTGATTACATTTTGCTTTAGCTTCCGCTTGACTCATGCCAACTGTGGATCCTGTTCTAATGGTTACCGACACAAATATGTTTACAAATAATCCGATGAAGAGGGGCGTTCAATGTACTCTCGATCTTAGGGTGATTTGCTAATAATGTTGGTAATTAAATTAATTCATTAGCTAAATTTTGTCTTGATAACTCCATTATTTCTTAATGTAACCTTTAGTCATAGACGACGGGAATGACTGACTCAACAATGTTGAAAACAACGACTACACAGCCCATAATGTATATACTTCTGCATCCAAACCTGTCTGTCAAAAGTCTGAGGTAAGCGGTACGGGGGAGGCGGGTTGAAATGCACGCTAATTGGTTAAAATCAAGGTTGCGACACTTGCTAATAAGCAAACAGTGATGGGAACTTTAACTAATAAATTTGGTTCCAAGTCTACTTAATCAGTACCAGAATTATATTCTACTATAAATTAGTACAAAATAAAAAAAAAAAAAAAAAGAAGTTTTATTTAAGTAGGTATCGTATTTAGTAAAATACCTATAATTTATTGTTTTAAAGAATATTTTTTGGCATTACTTGGGGGCCTATGTTCAGTAGTGGACTTGTGAAGGGCTGTAATGATGATGATGATGATGAAAGAATATTTTTTCTTAAAACACAATCTTTCTTTACGATATTGAAATAATAATAGAATACTATTAAAAATAAAATAGCAACATTTATTTAAACTGTCAAGTTCACTTCCGTTTCCTACTTGTCTTGACATGGCGTCTTTGCAGTAAAGAGAGCGGAGTGCCGTCTATTAAAAATTGTATCAATTTTATTATGAATTGATTTAAGAAGTTTTGAATAAGTTGATTTAATTATTAAATCAATTAATTCAAGTATAGATTAACGTACATTCGCTAAAAAAATTCAGCTTACACCTATGTCGCTTATAATATAAGTCTTTAAAAAAATATTCACGATAACATGCATAATATTTACTTGTACCAATATTATAGTTTAACTGGTAATGCACTAGTTACATGTGCCGGTAATTAAAGAAAAGTGTAGCAAAAATGAACTGCATTGAAAAGAAAGGGATGCATAGTCTGAAAATATCCGAAGATGTTCGAATTAATCAACGCGAGTTGCTTGCGTCAAATATAGGTTGAACTCTGATTTAATTTTAATTAATGAATTTGGAAATTAAAATTTATTTATCTATGAAATGTGATGCCATTTTTTTAAATTAGACATTTGGCTACTATTTACTCACTATTTTATTGTACAGGGAACCATGTTGCGCGTCTGTTGTATTTTATTTTGTCGAAAATTCACGAGTCACATGCAAGATGTTCACGGGTCAGGGAAGTGGTTGCTACTAAAGTAGATCGTGCAGTCGTTTTCATAAGTAAGACGTATTTGTCTAACGTGTTGACAGAAAGTGTTTGCCTTGCATGAGTCGTCTATTCAGGCTGTGTAGTCGTTGGTTGAAAATAATCGAACACGGATTTGCTAACGATAATGAGCTCAAGTCCGCTGTAAATGAGCATTTTTCAAGCCAAGACGAGAAATATTTTTTCAAAGCTTTTTTAAGATCAAGTAAATGTATCGATGTCATGGGAGATATATTGAAAATAAACAAAAAATGCATATATGTATAATATGTACATGTATATACATATATTAATTTTCTAGAAATATTTAAATTATATTATAAATTTATTATCTACTTTCTTCCATAATTTGTTATTATTCACCCGAAAATTCACAAAACATGAACTTTAAAATGAATTTACAATTTTTTTCACTTTAAACATAGAATATTTTATGCACTAAACGAAATATTGATTCATAAAATGGTTCAAAAAGAAATAAAATTACGAAAAATAACTGGCTATGAGAGAAAGAGAAAAAGAAAATGTGCGCGCGCACTGCTCTCTCTTGCTTATATCCCCCACTCAACTCCCGTTCGCCTTGCCCGATCACTCTTTTCGTAACGCTTTCGTCACGCATTCGCCAGCTTACTCCCCAAGTCAAGCGTGTGTAAAGCAGTTTTATTTTTTTACGCCCGCTTGATTTTGATTTGATTTTTTGAACGCCCCTTATAACCATAATATTGCATATATCGTGTATACCATTGTTCTTATCGATAGCCGTTCACATTCATCAGGTGCAGCTATCTTATTTGGGCACTTTTTCTTCTGCTGTTTCTCAAGTCTAAAATTGACTGTCACACTAGTCTAACTCCATAGACTGTAGCACAGAGAATACTTATGATACTGCGACATAACTTTTGATTGTGCAACTATCAGATGCCACTTTAGTCGAAATTCGACCCATGGACACCAGCAACCAAGTTTGAACAAAGGTGCAAGCGCGTAGACTGCTGCTTAAAACAGAAATATGTAAGATGGGACTGTGGTGTAGGATAATTAGGGATTCCTAGGCCTTAGATATTCTACAACAAAATTTTTTAGTAGTACAATATATGTGTTTCGAATCAAATGTTGAACTTTTGTTCACGTCTTCTATTCAGATTTAAATCAACCGCCTCTGTCCAGAGTTTGTCAAAGCCCAATTTTTTTGGAGCACGTATTAAATTGTTTGTTTTTTGTATATAGAAACGAGCTCGTCGGTTCAAGAACCAAATTTTATGCGACTTGCACTTTGCGGACGTGGCGCTCATGGAGTGCAGTGACTTCATGCAACAATTGCGCAGCTTCAAACCGCAGTCGCTGGGCTGCGCCGTCGCGAGGCGCAAATCCTCAACCACGCTGATATTTCCACTGCCACCACAAGCTTGTTCAGGTAACTTATATTCTTTGGATTTGTAATTTAAGGCTCTCTAAGCTTAATTAAAAGCAATCTAATCAGATAAGCTGGCTAAGTAGGCCTTTCTGATGAGTACATGCTCAAGTGTGTTGTAAGCAGGGCGGTTTAAGTTTGCCTAAGTTGTTCAACCTGTATATTAATGACTTGATCGCATATCTCAGCAGTATATTATATAGCTTGTCATAATTAGAATGTTTCTTTGTTTATCCCGTATGCGTTTCATTAGTTTACGCTAGGCTCGACTTATTATCGCTTCTTCTCGAGATACGTGTCTCGAACGTACAGAGTACATCATGGAAGACTTTTTGTTGTTGAATTTTATAAAGTTGAATTTTTCGTCAAATCTTGACGTTTTGAGTACACAGGAAGCCACCCTGACAATTTTTCGATGGTGTCTGTATGAATGTATGTGCGTGTGCGTGTGCGTGTGCGTGTGCGTATGTGTGTGCGTGTGCGTGTGCGTGTGCGTGTGCGTGTGCGTGTGCGTGTGTGTGTGTGCGTGTGCGTGTGCGTGTGGTGTGGGTGTGCGTGTGTGTTGTGTGGTGTGTGTGTGTGTGTGTGTGTGTGTGTGTGTGTGTGTGTGTGTGTGTGTGTGTGTGTGTGTGTGTGTGTGTGAGTGTGTGAGTGTGTGCGTGTGTGAGTGTATGTGCGTGTGCGTGTGCGTGTGCGTATGTGTGTGCGTGTGCGTGTGCGTGTGCGTGTGCGTGCGCGTACGCGTGCGTGTGCGTGTGCGTGTGCGTGTGTGTGTGTGTGTGTGTGCGTGTGTGTGTGTGTGTGTGTGTGTGTGTGTGTGTGTGTGTATGTGTGTGTGTGTGTGTGTGTGTGTTTGTGTGTGTGTGTGTGTGTGTGTGTGTTTGGGTGTGTGTGTGTGTGTGTGTGTGTGTGTGTGTGTGTGTGTGTGTGTGTGTGTGTGTGATTTTGAGAAATCTCGAAAGTAAAAATTATGAAAAACAGTTTTTTTTTTTGGAATAACTTTTAAACGTCTTTACCGATCGATTCCAAAAACTTTAATAAGCCACGTCAATCTTTGGCGGTCCGGTCAAAATCGGTTTATTTGTTCGTGAGATATCGTTAACGAACAATTTTGGAAAAATTGAATTTTTTAAATTACTTCCATATTTCATATTCAGCGTCATAATTTGATGAAATGTGGAGCGCTTTGCATTTGAAATTAGCGGGAAGTTCCAGGGATGGTCTACAGGGTCAAGGAATAGAGGCTATATTATATCCATTGCCATATTGTAGGAGACCACTATATTACTTACAGATTTCAAAAAAACTACATAGGCGTTGATTAACTTAAATCACAGTTTAAAAAATATCTATATTAGATTACGAGTAATTCTTATTAAAAGTCAATATTTTACGTTACCAATGGTTCGAAAAAAACCTCTGTCCTGGGAAGAACCAGCAAGAAACCCAGCGGTTGGTCACAAAATATTTACAAAATGTATTTTAGAAACAGCTTGGAAGCGACCACCTCATTCCCAGTGATTATTATCAACCATGTGTTCATTTATATTATAATAACACTTTTTATACAGTTTTTGTTTAATTAAATATTTAAACTTGGAAGAATAAAGTTAAATCAATAGACCCTATCCAGACGCCGGGACTGGTGACTAGCATATAATAAAAGACAATGCCGGCTTAGAACTTTCCTTAAAATAAATAATAATTTTCAGCATAAGATACTAATAAATTCGTAGTAACGGCATTACAGGGGTGTTCTTCCAATTTTCTGGTTAATTGACAAGATTAAACGCATCAACCATTTGCTGCCCCTGTAATTCTTACCGAATTCGCGTAACGGAATAATTACATCCAATTTTACTGTCACTGAAATGAAGACAGTGCCTGGAGCTTGTGACGGATTCAGTGTTTCGTTAACGAGATTATTTTTAGGACGTTACCGTAATTAAAGCTTCTGTAGAGTAGGATTTTGGATACATATTTGTTTCTGTTACTAAAGCCAACTGTATTTCAATATTTATGTATTCTTTTATGTACCGCTTTTACCTTTTTTAGATAATCATAAAATTACAAATGTTTTTGTTACATTACGACTCTTGCATTTTAATACCATTTAAATTTTCTATAAATTTTTTAATGTTTCCTTTTAAGATTTAATAATTTAATATTCTTAAAGGAATTAACGTAAACGTATTTCACACGGTTTCTGTAAATGTGTAAATTCAACTATTATTACAGTTAAAATATCAGATTTTTTATTTAAAATTTAGTTGCTGCATTAATTTAGCTTAAAATACTTGTGGCCGTAGTCTCTTTGTATTCCATTGTTTATTTTATGTAATATCTATCTAATTTACAACCTGACTGATTTAAAATAATCCATTAAGTATCGTAAGAGACGACGAAGGGATGTGCCAAAAAGATCTTATGGCTTCGGAAAAAAGCCTCTTCCATAGCACTTTTACAGGCTGGCGCAGAACATAAAGAACATTACTTTTACATATTGTATTATTTACGAAATGCTTATGAAAAAATTACTTTATTATTCACGAGTTTAATTTTGAATATTAATATGAAACATAAATAATTTACAAGGTAATTTTGGTTGTAGTTGTTGAGATATTTAATATCCTACCAACACAATTGGTCTGGATTATTTAAATCACACTAGCTAGCGTATTAAGGTTGGATTTCGCTTATTGTCGTCCCGCCAACCCCAGTCGACTGGCGGCTAGTCAATACGTGTCAAACGGAAATGGAGGAAACGTGTTCACAGTAAGTCACGGATCCATTCTATAACATCCTTTATTTACTGTCAGGCAGTGTGCAACTAAATTTAGTATAAATCACAGAAAATATATTTTACCACGTTTTTATTAAGCCACTTTCTTGTTTGCCTGTCTGTCTATAGTTCCGGGTGAAATTTAGTAATTAATTTTAAACTAACTTCTGATAATAATTTGGTATAATAAAAATTTGTACAGCTATAGCATCTCGAGAGATCAAGAAAAGTTATTCAATACCAAAGTATTGAATAACTTTTCTTTTTTTTCTTTTCAGTCTGTTAATTTATGGTTTTTTCCAACCGATTAGACAATGACGTACGCTTGCTTCGGCATCCGTGAAATGAAATGCATGAAAACTCAATTTCCCGTTGTTTCCTGAGCAGATCGAAAACCCGCAACCGCCGCTAAGGGTAAAAACTTTACCAAAACACCCGCATCACACGACTTCCCCTCCGCGGACCGCTTTAGAATATAGAAGTATACAAACCCTTATAAAATATTTAAGCCTTGTTACTCTTCAGAGGTATCCCCTGTCGAATTTATTTTGTCGACGTAGTTATTCACTTACATGAATACTTATACATAATATAAATAATACACAACTATTATTGTTGTTTTAAATTCAGTTTTTATAAAGTAGGTGAGACTTTAGCTGCTACTCTCTACTTTTTCCCCACCTGTGACTTCGGTAAAGATCTAAGCGCCTGGTATTCATATATATGGTTTGACTGATTTATAAATGTTAGTTTAGTGTTAATTTCGGAATGTTATATATTACATAACGGTTAACCGATCAAAGATCAAAATTGGGAAGGTGACAAAGCATAAGTTGACATTGTTCATGAAAGTTGATTTATTCGTTTATCCAACTACATATGATATAAAAATTGTTGGTTATTTTTAAGGATTTATTGCAATTTCCTTTCGGTAGAGAATTACTATTATACGTCAGAAAAGCCAAAGGAAATAACACATATATCCAAATACAACACATGGAAAAGTCAGCATAGCATACAGCAGTATACACTATATAAAAAACAAAAGATGCCATGCCAACATGAAGGGAATAGCTTCAAATAGTATGGTATACTTCGATCGTATTTTATTTTATTTATTTTTTATTTAATAAGAGTCACAAACGATTACATAGTCCACCTGAATGTTAGTGGAAGCTATGGCCCATAGACATCTACATCTATCCCCGATTACGAATCAAAATACAGATGCGTTGTCGCCCCTGAGGATTAAAATGGAATACAATGAAATGGTTTCCTGTAAATAAGTGGTCCGGTTCTTTACACTCACCAAACCAAACACAATAGATTAAGCTGCTATTTCATGTTGGTATTCTGTAAGAGCATTATCCTTCCCGGTGGAGCCAACCCATTCGTGCTACAACCATATTATAGCTGCAGTTTGGCTAAATACCACGTTAATTAACAATTTATATATAGTTAATTGTGTTTGTAACTTTATAAACTTGAAGAAATGTATAATCAACTAGCGATCTGCCCCGGCTTAGCTTGGATATGATCAAATAATTTGGCGTTATATAGATCTCTTAGCTACCAAGCGGTCAAATTTGACCGCGGCGATATTTCATCAAATTCCAAGCGGTCAAATTTGACCGCACCCACCCACAGCACTTTAAACCATTAAAACTTGTATTTAGAGACTACTACTACTAGACTACTTTTCTATGAACAAGTTTGGCATTGTAGAATCAATATGAAATTTTCTATCCTTTAGTGCAATAAAAAGCCAGTTAGTCTATGGATATTTATTTATATACGTTCTTTACGTACGCCATTTTTATTTGGATGTTGTTGTGTTGATTTTTGGATTTTTCTAGTGTTTATTAGTGTTTTATTATAAAATTGTTATAACAGTTTTTTGTGAATATAATTTATCTTTTTAAGTTAATAATATCGAGTAATATATGGAAATATAGTAGTGATTTTCACGCTGCCGACATCCGCTTGGATGTACCCGTTTTTTGTTATCAAAATACAATAGTCTTTTTGTAATGAAGTTAAACCTGACTTTTGTTTATAGAAAATTTTGTATTGATTTTATAATGCCAAAATTCTTCGTAGGAAAGTAGTCTCTAAATATAAGTTGTAATGGTTTAAAGTGCCGTGGGCGGGTGCGGTCGCATGCGACCGCTCGGGATTTGGCAGACGCATGCGACTGCATGGGATTTTTATAGGGATTAAA